TAAATAAATAAATAAATAAATAAATAAATAAATAAATAAATAAATAAATAAGATAATGAGATCCTCAGATAATTAAACCAATTATAAGCATCATGCAGTACCAGTGACAAACTCTTTAAGTAGGAGCCTCGCTGGTACCAATTTAAATTTCTGCCCACTTTTACAAAGAGCATGTTGCAGTGGTCGGATCAAGATGTAATCAAAGCCTGAATTAAAAGTTGTCAAAGCTGACTGGCTTGAGAATAGTTACAGCTTGGATGCTAAACATAATTGCCCAAACATGATATTTGCCATAGCAATTATCTAAGGAAGCCAGTGGCACCTGAGCATTATGTAATGCTACTCTAATTGTAGTATTCTTTGTATTGTAGTATTGTTTCAGGAAGAGGTCAAACATTTCTGGTGGAAGCTAAAATTCAATCTTCAAATTAAGTGTTTGGTTTTTTTACCAAACAGCACACCTGTCTTAGTGTTCAGGGATACTGACAGCTTCTATAAATCAGTGTATTGTTAAATCCTGAGCTTGTTTTAAGCCAAAATATGGTTGTTCAAAGCTGACCACAAAATTTAATCCCAATTCATTACATATAAATTTACCAGATACCATCAAATGCTTCACAAAGTCTCCATTTGGCTTTTGCAATCTATCATGTTATGATGTTGTGCATTTGATATCCTTAAAAGCAATTATGTCCTAATAATTTTGAAACAATATCCTTTTATAAAATGTAATTTTGGTTATTAGGCATATTAGAAACACAGGAGATAAAGCGACAAATTTTATTTCTTTGGTATTATGAGCAATATTTTTCATTATTTTTTTTACTGCAGATGATGTATTTATTTTCCTTCCTTGTTCCTTTGTAAGATTTATATTGTCTTTTAAGGATTATTGAGATCTATATATTTCTCCAACAGTGTCAAAAGTTTGGACAATACAACAAAGATGATTCAAATTCTTTTAGGCTGTCTGATTCATTCTCCTTGTACCCCCAGGTAAGATCTATCTCAAAAATTTTAAAAGAAATAAAACAATTCATAAAAAGTAGCAGTTTGCCTCCAAGTCAATTCTATGGTTATCAGAAGACTGTATTAAATAGTAAAACATTTTATGTTTGATACATGCCTTTTCTTTTTTGTATTTGTATCTCAAAATAATTCAGACAAGCAAAGAGACAGGAAATGAAGATTAAAATAGATATTTTAATTATATTCAATATGACTTCTGTTGTTTTTTTTCTGTTCCATTTAGTTCATGTTCCATTTGCGACGATCTCCA